ACTCAATAAACCTGAAGGCTTCGAGAATCGCACGCATAACTTGAAACTTGCTCAATTGCATTATACAATTGTTACATGAAATGTTTATTCAGCGCAATAAATTATTTGATTCACGCTTAATTCATTATTCAATGCATCTTCCACTATCCAAACACACATCATTTAACTTCTAGTAGCATCAACTTCAGCCAGCAGTAAGGTGCGTTCTTCAGTGAGCAACCCATCGTCGATTATTAATTATTTGATAATGCAAATAGGTGTTTATCACTCGGATGATATCGGTGTAGTGCAGTCGCACTGTTCTGCTGCCTCTCACTGTCGTGTACCTCATAATAAATGGTGAATTGTACGTTCGGTGGAACATCCAGTGCCATCATCAGATTCGCGATTACAATCGAACCAATCAATGTGTATTCTTGGATGGCAGCTCCCTGGTCGACTGAAACGTCAACGAGATCAAATTCAGAACTGTTAAACGATCAAGAAAAGTTGAATGAGAATTTCGAACATTTCCTTAAGATTCGCTTTCAGTTCCTTAAGATCCTGTGATATTTGTTCAGTACTGGAACAATATTCATAATCAGCGAATGAATCGAAGAAACGTGAAGTCATTGCTAAAATCGCGTTTGCATATTGGCTTAAGGTTAAAAGATAGCTGAAAGATCAAAATGTAACCAACCATAAGGATGCTGAATTCCTGCTAAATAGAATGGAACGAAATTCCGCCAAACTGTGTCGAGAAGGGCCGCTATTAGGATACCGCACAACAATTTAGTATACAAGCTTGTACTTCCAAACTGAAATTCGAAGGCAATGATCAAATTAATCACATCCTTGCATGATATCATTAGAATGATTCGTTAAAAAAGCAACCGGTATTTGCAGTGACAACAAGCAAAAACAGCAACAAGCAAATTAAGCTTACGCTTTTACGAGAGCCATCGTAGAAGTGTCGTATGCAGTGTAGAAAGATATTCAACAGGATTGACCTTCCGTATAGCTGGTAGGCATAAGGTAATAAACCGTAGACTGCAANTATTCAGAAAAATAACTGCACAACGAAGAACCAGCAAAATTCAGCAATGATTTGTGGACAAACCTTTCATATTACAAAAACAGTCAAGTGAGAGTTTCAAAAATAACGAAATAGAATGTAATTGGGAAATATATATGCTTTGAGCTTTGTTTAAAATATAATGAGAGGATTGATTATCTTTTTCAGAGTTAGTGACAATTTTTCGGACTATACGATAAATATTTAGAGACGGATGGAGCAACAATGACTGATGCTATTCAATAAGAGCAAATCGTGTGCGAACGGCTCAAAAACAAACTCTCTGAATCGAAGCCATGATGCAGAAGACATAAAGCGGCTGCACCAATTGTTTCGAGCATTATCACGATGGATATCAAGTAGGACGTTGTGTGCGCCAGAAGCGACAATAAAGTATTATTGCTCGATGTTGTCGTTGAAGGGTGGCAGTGAACCGTGAGTATTCGGCAAAATGCAGGAGTCAGAAGTGATAGCCGAAGTAGAATTGACATTTCGACGCGAGTTTGGAGCAGTCGCAGAAGTGAAGGATACCTGGCATCGTCGGATGGCTTCGCATACTTAAAATCAGTATGCGTGAGATGATGATTGTATGCTTTGTAATATCTATAACCGTAACATTTGACTCGATTCTTTCAAAAGGCTCTGAATCGTTTGCGGATAAATTGATGAATGATGACGCTTAAGGTCAAAGTTTGGTTGCAGGAACACATTCATTTT